TTGACTGAATACAAGTCTCTATAAATAAAGGCTGGCTTTCCACATAAAGGACAAAGGGATCAGGTTCTGCCCTGGCTTCAAAACCTCTGCAGACTGCTAAACCTGTGGGCTGCTACCCTCAGTGCCTGCTTCTAACTGGGCTGCTGCACCCCCACTGCCAAGGATGTGTCAGGGGAGGGGGGCCAGGTTGCTCATGACACTGTGACCACCAACTCCATTCCCTACTGTTCTCTTAAAGAAAACACACCGCCATCAATTGCACAATGAAGATAGTGTTAAGATACAAAATCAACAGGGTTTGAGCTCTCAAGGGAAAAAAATGCAAAAAATAAGATTATTTGGCAAATTTTGCAGATATGATTTTTCACAGGGAACTCAAAGCACTTGATATTGCCTGATGGAAACTTCTCTGATTTTCCTGTTAAAATTGCTGAGCTATAAAATAAAATCTAGTATTATTTCCTGAACGTGAATCTATCTGTAGACAGAAACTGAGTCTCTTGACTCCTGGGGTGAGGTCTGCTACATAACATATGCGACTTGGCTAGGTCTCCTGTCCTTCAAAGCAAGTGTTTCTTGTTTGCTCTCTGTCCTTTAGGGGCATCAGGGTTGGCCTGCACAGCACCCGGTACTAAGTCAGAAAAGCTTTTAAGGGGACCCGTGTTCACCCCATGGCCTTCTCTGTCACCCTCCAAAATCATGGTCTGCTAATGCAACCAAGCAGCCCTTTGTGGCTTCCTATGAGCAGGCCAGGCACCCCATGGACCCCGCCCTCCCATCACCTCTCAGACTTTCCAAATATAGGCAGCTGTGGAAGATTCCCCACCCCTTACTTAGAGGCAGAGGTTACTCATTATCCTTGCACATAAAAATCCATTCACAATGTTTCAGAAGTCCTGTTATATCTCTATTTCATTCCTTTGGACTTTAATATTCAAATCCGGCATACCCTTGAAGTGGAAATAGTAGACGAAAAAGATTTTGGAAGTCAATCCTAAAAACAGGCCACACACCCTCCTGATAAACAGCTGTGAAGAAACTATCACTTTAGACCCTGTGATTTATTATATCAGAAGAAGATTCAAGAAGAAAACATGCATAATTATTACCAGAGCAAAGAAAATCCAGTCTCCTTAAAGAAAAAGACAATATCCCAGTCTACTCTCTTCTCCAAAGTGCCTTAAAAAAAAAAAATAAGCATTTCATGGAGGAGCTTTACAACATTTCTGTATATATTTGAAATTCAAATGCACACAAGATGCATGTTTTCCCCCCCAGAATGTCTCAGATCTCCTAAATAAAGCATATCCCCTGTGTGGGCGATCCCTGGACTACATGTGAGGTCAGTGTTTGGGTCTCTCTGCCAGGGTCCGGACGCTGTTCTTCCAGGAAGAGCTGCAGAGACCCTGGGAACAGGACCAGCCCAGCTCGCAAGTATGAAGAGAATGTCGGGAGAGGAAGTGGTGGTTGTGAGTCAGCATGAGTCATCTTGTCCCAATGAGAATGAAGACTGAGGTGTGCGCCTTTTCCCCCTTCTAGTTTTTTTTTTTCTTGGTCTCAGTTGTGTGGACATCATTGGGAATGGAGGGAAATTAGTGACGGGGTGACTGTTGCTTTTTAAGTCTCCAGCTGATGCTCCAGGCGAGCCGTGCCTGAGTCAGTGTCCGACTTCACAGCACAGTTCCTGGACCGTGCAGCCTTCAGCTTCTCCCCGGTGAGTAGGTTTCTGTCATTTTCACTGTCATCTCAGCAGTTTGCCTCAGGCTCCGCTGGGCTGACATGCTTGAGTCCTGGAGCAGACTCGGCGTTTGGCTCAGATAGTGAGGATCCGTCCTTTTAGAAAAGGGGCTTTGCTGCCCCTCCCCTGTAGCTCCTGGATTTCAGTCTGATTGTCTGGAAGGAGTTTCTCAGTCGTTCATTGAGAGACTACATGCTCACTGTGTGTTATGTTGCCTTGGAAGGGAGAGTGGTGTTTGACAGGAAACAAGCTGTTTGAGCCTCCCGTCTGGAGACAAAGTGAAGTTCAGAGATGGAAGTAGGGTGAATTTGTGCTAACCCAGGGTGCTGAAGTTGGGCCAGCTTCCGCTTCTCTGAGGTGGAGGAAAAAGCCTGTGAGCAATTTCTGGCCGCGTGGTCTGAGCTGTCCACTTTTAGTGAAAGAATTATAATAGAGAGGCAGAATTTTGGCTTCCCTTTCTCAAGGCTCATGAGTGATTCTAGAAGTTTATCTATGTCTTTTCCCTTTCCTTAAACACTGGAAGTCACAACTGTAGTAAAATCAGCAAGAAAAGATGCTGGGGACTGAGGCTAGGGATAAGCATGGAGCAGCTGAGCTCCTTGGGCTTTGACCTGAGCTTGACTGTTGCTATTCTGATGAAGCTTCGCTTTACTGTTAACTAAAATACAGGAAACTTTTTTTTAAAAAAAAATGTCGTTCTAGTTACTGTAAATGAAACGGTTAAAATGTCATAAATACCTTATGATAAACAATTTTCGAATTTGCTTAAAAAACTGCACATCAGTAAGCAGGGCATGACAGGGAGCTTTTTCAGTATAGTCATTTGAGTGCGTGGGCTTCCTGGGTTACTAATGAGTCAGCACCTGATTTCTAAAATTGGAGGAGAGAAGAGCATATTGCCCCCCAGCATAGCACGGGGGCGGGATGCCTCTCTAGGAGGCTTTGACTATGGCCTTCGGTGACAGTGACCTTTGGACACCTCCCCTGTGTCGGGGGCTCCCTCCCCAGCTTTGGTGCCAGCTCCTAGATGTGGACTGAGAGGCCCCTTTGCTGGGGTCGGGGGGCTGTGCCAGGCCATGTCCATTGGCTGATGTTGATCATTTCTAAGTTCTGTCTTGATGGAACTGATTGGGCATAGGGTTCATTACAAGAGAAATCCAGTGTTTCTGAAGGACTAGGGTGGCCGGGCTGAGGCTGCCTCTAGTGTCCGTGATGTCACAGGTGCTGAGGGATGGAATGGAAGAGGCCATCACAGCAAGAGCTTTGAAACCATGTCTGCAGGTGACACATTGTGGAGGAAGATTGTGAGCTTAAAATCGAAAAATAGGATTCCATGAAGAATCCCTTGCACCAAACTCTTCTTATCTATGTAATGAAAGAAATGTTGAGAAAATAATTTTTTTTAAATTATGGTTGTGGTTCAAGGACAAAATGCAATGTTGTTTGAGCCTCTCCATCAAATTCTATAGGCATGTCCAGGATTTATTTTGTGGAGTTAGGTAACCTTGGGCGCGGTCCTGTGTTTTCCCATCACAGACCCAGCAGCTCTGTGCTAGCACACTTAGAGGGGACACACAGAAGTCAAGCTCAGGGGCCCAAGGGACTGCTGGGGTGGGAATGGGGGGGGGGGTTTGGTGCTTACAGAGTTAGCATCCACCCAGTGTTTACAGGAGGGTCTGGACACAGATGGGACCCATCCCACCTATGTTTTCTCCAGGCTGCTTTTCTCGCCTGGCCTCTGAAGCACTTGGCTTCTCTTGACTTTGCACCATGACTTTCAAGCAAGATTTGAGATTCTAACACAGTCAATGGTTATTCCAAGACTGAGAGTCACAAGCAGGCAAAGCTTAACTCTAAAGCCTCCCAAGGTAGTTATGGGGGTTTCCACGGCAGGAGACCAGGCCAGTCACTCACCACGCTCTAGCCCTCCTGCACCACCCTCCCTGGGCTCCCCTTTCCTCCTGAAAAGAAGCTTCCAGGGTACCTAATAGGTGTGTCCCTAAAACCTGTGACTTTATGGTGAATTCACCCTTGTGTTGGGCAACTAACCTTCCTCATGGTGAAATGTGGATATAATGGCACCAGCCTGGTGAATTTTTGTAAAGATAGGTGATGATGATTAGCACACAGATTATGAGACTCACAAAAATGCCACTTTCATAGAGGGAAGAAGTCATCCATGGGGAAGGTCCTAGATGGTGCCCTGCGGCTCATGTACACCAGAACTTTCTCTTGTCCCCATTTTGAAAAAAATGCCAACTAACAGACCCGTTTCTTCCCAGGCCTGTGTCTTTTAGGGCTGTTAAGAAGTGTTTTTGAGGAGGCTGATTTCATCCTAGATATTGATTGTATTCTTTCATACAGTACAGATGCTGCTAGGACTCACATCCTATGAGAAAGAAGCCTGTGATGAATGGATATTATTACTTTTGTAATCAGGAGAAAGAGTTATTTTAAAAGGCTAGAAATAAGGCCATGGATCTGTCTGAAAATAGAGCATTAATTATTATGATTTGCTGCTTAGTCTTACTTTCCCAACAGTATAAAGGCGCTGAGTCTAATTGTGGGTGTGAGCAGTGGATAAGGAGGGAAGCCTTCTATAAGAGAAATTGAGCAGCTATTTTTAAAGGGCATGTACTGCAAAAAGAAAATGCTGGTGACTTGATGACATCTAGAAGTTTCCCAGTTCCCTGTTGCCATGGCACTTCCAGGCCTATGACTTCTACTTCATGCCTACATGAGTTAACCTTGTCTCCCATGCTCTAGCCCTCCTGCACCACCCTCCCTGGGCTCCCCTTTCCTCCTGCAAAGAAGCTTCCAGGGTACCTAATAGGTGTGTCCCTAAAACCTGTGACTTTATGGTGAATTCACCCTTGTGTTGGGCAACTAACCTTCCTCATGGTGAAATGTGGATATAATGGCACCAGCCTGGTGAATTTTTGTAAAGATAGGTGATGATGATTAGCACACAGATTATGAGACTCAATGACTCTTTAGTACACACTCACCAGTGCAGAAAGACAGGTACCTTTCTATCTCTACCTGGACCCTCTGTCCTGGGGGTATCCACAGGGAATAAGGTCGCAGGCTCCTGAAGTGAGATCCTCTCTGTCATTAATTACATGGCATGTTCTTGTTCTACGCATCTTGATTAGCTCAGTGGGAAAGATTTCTTTTCCTCCCCAGGAAAATCTGAGGTTCCAGATGTCACGGACACTAGCACTATCATCATGCTTTTCAACGCCAGTCAAAGTCCTCATTGTAGGACAGTCCCAAACACCAGTAACTTTGTGGGCATTACCTCGAACTCCTTCCCTCCCAACACACATACATACCGCCCTGAAAGACAGGAAGGACGGCCGGCTACTTGACTCACTTGAGGTCCAGGATTCACAGCAGGTGTATCAGGCAGAGCAGTTGCTTCATAGAGGGCATCAGAGACAGGCGAGCCTCTCACCTCCATTAGGAGATGAAAGTCAGGCAGAGCGGGGGACCAGGAGGTTCTGCAGGTAATCCATCGGGCTGAGGCCATAAAACAGAAAATTCAGGACCACTAGCTCAGATCTGCCCCCAGGGTGGAAGCAGCTGGCTCTGTACTCACACTTCCTGTCTAAAGCCAGCTACAGTCAGCTTCTACATTCTGAAATTATTTGAAAATCATTACAGTTCATGGAGCTGACTCATACTGAAAATATTAAGTAAGATACTCTTAAAACTAGGCTGAACAAACATGCCCTTTCTTTGCCAATTTTGGAGATAACTAAGACCATGCCTCAGAAGTCAAACCTCCACACTCACATTTGCTGCCCCCAAAGTGGCAGCAAATGTGCCCCTTTGCTCAGCTTACCCATGTGGTGCTGCCCTGTCAGCTCATGGTATGTGTGTAGTGTGTGTCTCCTTTCTGGGAATTCAGGCTTGGGATGTGAATGCTGGCTACACTTTGTCACAGTACATGGTGACAAGTTTGGGGGGCCTTTCTTGCTTTCCATTTGTTCCATAACTCAGAGGATCCTCTCACCCACAGTACTGTGGCCTGGGCATTCATAGTCATGTGCTTGGCCCTGGGCTGCTGGGCAGGGACTGGGTTCCTCACTGTTACGGGGCACTTCTGGTTAGCCCACAGAGCTCAGGCAAGAAGCAGACAATAGCCAACAGTGTTTTTAGTGCTTGTGACTACCCTACCCTTTTGCAAAACTAAAAAGACAGGAGGCAGGCTACCCAGAGCAGAGGTCAATGGACAGCCAGTTTCCCATCTTGCTATTCTGCCATCCTTAGCATTGACTTCTTTCCTCAAAGTTCTCTTAAAGGCTCCAAAAAGGCTGCTGGAGTTCCAGCTGTCTTAGCTGCATTCCACACAAGGGAAAGAGAGGAAGTGGGTGGGTGGGGGTGGGGCAAAACTTTGAGCATCCTAGATATCAGACTTCTTGGAAGAACTTCTTAGAATCCCTAGCTAATTCCTTTTAGCCTATGTCTTTCATTGGTTACGTCTGTAGAGAAGCCTGGGTAATGCAGTTTTTTTTCCATTGGGTCCCTGACAACATGGAAGTTGCCATTGATACAAAAGAAGTAGAAGAACATGGATGCTAGATAGGCAACGAGCAACTCCATAGCACAGTGCCCCTGAAGACAACTCGATTTACATTTTGTAGCACTCAGAGCCCTGTGCGTGGCTAGGGCACAAGTCCCTTAGCTCCACTGTGACCAAGGTTTACTTTGTGAAATGAACCACATTCCTTTCCCTGGAGGCATCAGGAGATACACAAGGTGACTTTAAGGTTTTTAAACTTGGAAGAAGTCATTCCAAGGGACAAAAATCACCGGTTTAGTTTTTGTATTCTGTAAATAGGATTTCTTTTTAACCATGCATTTAGTGAATATTTATCATTAACCCAAAGAAATAATGTTCCAGACCCACACTCAGTGCCTCCCTTAGTACTCACAGAACTGTGGGCAAATTCTATCATCACCTCAATTGT